AGAGATTTACCTGAGCGCCAGTGTCGGTTCGGAGCTCTCACCACCCGCGAAGGAAAAACTCACTGGCTCTGGGAGTATTTTTACTCAGTTCTAGGGTTTACAGGTGTCGTTCCCATTGTATTATTTTAAAGGGTAGGAACAATATCAGCATTAAAGTGTGACAGAGGCATCTCTCGGAAAAATAATAAAGGAATTGAAAACTGGGACAAATATCTAATACTACATAAGGAGTAAGTCACTATATGTTCTCCCCTTCCTGTCTCCCGGCGATTTCATGGTGTAGTGAACGGAGTCTAAAGTAAGATAGGTTAAATAAGGGGTTTGTAATTTTCAAGTCATCTGTAAAATCTACCAATATCTGTTTCATGCTTTAATCTTACTGTTAAGACTCACCAGTAACCATCTAAGTTCGAGAAAATTGAATAATAGCTAAGTAATAAATAAGGATGAGAGGTGCTGATAACATTAAAAGCTAAGAGCTTTAAGTACTGAAACAATATCAATCTTTAAATAAAACTTTGGAGCATTGGGAACCTTGTGTGAAAACATGCGCAACCCACCAGGTGCAGATCATGTTTAATCTTAATTGTATCTTTTTGCTGAATATAGAAGGAGATTTGTTTGTTCCTGCTGTCAAATTATATTTAGGAAATCATTGCATGCCAGTATAGCAACACAGATTTTTTTTTTTTCTCTTTGGCCACTTCCAGAATTAGGTGAAAACTGAATTTTATACCAACTATTCTTTTCTGTTGTAGAAAATGTTTTACAAACTACTGTCCAAGATGTATTCTCATTTTTGTCGCGTTTCTTTACATGGGGATAGAGCCTTAAAAGAAAAGTAGAGAGCGGCTTTGCCTTGGAGACAGTAAGATAGGAACTGAACGTTCTCTGTGCCAGAGAGTAATCCTTTGCTTCATGATGCTAAACTATAATTGAATGCTCAGGGCTGGATATAAGAACAAGAACGCTTTTCAGGCAGCGATGTGCACCTTCACTGTGAAATTCTGAATTACTTGTGCTTTATAGTAGCACAAGTATATAGGCATATAGTAAATAGCAGATGTGCAGGCCAAAACTTTTAAGTGAACAAAATGCCGCAATTGTAGCTAATGGTGTCTTCACGGATGTTGCACTATCATTTCCTGTGTATTTCTGCTGTCTGCTTTATTTCTTCTTCCTTAGTGCATAACAAGCCTTCTTAGGCATAGACTGGCAGCTGGAAACAGTCCTGAGAATATCTTGCAAACAATGGGCAAAACTTCATTAGAATTCCTTACTGGATTTTAGAAGTGCTTATCTTTTAACATTCTTCTACACCTGTCTCTGTGCTTCTTACATTTATTAATTGCATGCTAAGGATGTACTTAAGGCTGTGATGAATTACAGGCAAAAATATTTTTACCTCGGGGCGTTCAGAATCTGTTGAGCATTAATGGTAACTAAACATGGAGGTGCAGATGTGAAGTCAATACAGAGAGCCATAGTGATAGTTTTCTTTTTTTCCATTTAATGTAACAGAGGTTCTGGGACCATAATCTCAAAATGGTAGACTCCAGAGCTAAAATGTAGCTAAAGAAAAAGAGGAAAGTTTATTGTGGAACCTAGTAAAATAGGCATGTAGACTTTTGCCTGTATGTATATTTTTCTTCTTTTCTCTTTGTATCAGCTCTGAGGAGAGTTTTTCCTCCCACCTTTTTTTAGTACCCATCTTTTCCATGTTTTCTCTTTTGTATTGTAGAGTTTTATTCCGGACATGGATCTAAAGGTAAAAAGATTTCGGAGTTCCACTCCTAACTCTACAACTTACAGTCTGTCACCTGAAAAAAAATCTTCTGTGAAATGCTGTTGAATGTTTTTATGAAAAGTTCAGGAAAAACAGAAGTTTAAGCAAATGGTATTCCTGCCCCAGCCATGTGATGTGCTTTTGGCTCTTGGTACAGTGAAGGTGGAACATAGTGTGACGACCAGTGGTACCGTAATTGGCCATTGCCTTGACCTCTCTTTATGTTAAACCTTAGTCTGTTAATTTCACTGTGCATATGATGAGGGTAGAATGTAATAATTTGTGTCTGCTTATATTAATTGCTTTGATATAAATTGCTATATGTACGCCAAAGTGGTGTTCCTTTTCTCTTCGACTTTGGTGTCTGTCTTCGTATTTTTAGATTCTAGTCCTGCACTAATTTCTCCACCTTTCTCCCCCACAGTGTTTGTGTACCTGTATGCTTTCCGTGTGTGTTCTCAAGGGCCTCCTCTTTTATGGTAAAACTATCCAAAGAAATAAGAGAATGGGAGTTGCATGACACACTAAGGCAATGGTGGTTGGTTTTTTTGCCAGTATGGATAACACCTTTCAATGTGTACTCCTTGAATCGCAGTGTTCAGGGTGATTTAGTTGAAAACTGATTGGGATTGCACAATTACAGTGTAGTACCCTTCTAACTAGTTTATTTATAGAAGAGTAAACATATAGATGAGCAAGAGTTTTGTAAAATGATTTTAACGTATGTGACATATTTAGATACTTGTGGCAATGTGTAGTATTTAAAAAGCCTATAGGGAGATGATTTGTTCAGTGAATGATGAATATTTAAATGGATATTGAAAAGTCTCCTCTGTAGTAAGGGGGCTGAAAGAGGACAGTATATAACTCTTGAAAAACAAGGATGTGATCTTTTGGGTAAATACTTTATCATAATGTATATGTGCAAGTGGACTCAATTAGGTTTGCAAAGGCAAAACCGATTGTAGAATCTTTACTTTTCACTCTGCAGCTTTTCTCTTTAGAACGACGTTTTGAGTCATATCTACCCCATATGTGTGTATGCATGCGATGATTACACAAAGAAGGGTTTGTGGTAGCTTGCTATCTGCTGTAAAGTCGTTTTTTTCCACATTTTATCTAAAAATTAACTGCTCTCTAGTTTACAGTTACACAGTGTTTATCCTATGTGTGTTATTTTACACTTACAGTTAACAATATTTGTGGGAACGTCCCAGGCTGTTACAGTGATTTGCTCCGCAGTTTAATTTGCCCTATATTGCTAACAAAATCTTGACAATGGACCCTCAAAAACGGGCTGTAGACTTCAACTTTACACTTTTTCTTCAACTGGCTTCTAACACGTGTTTGTACAAATCTCTAAACCCACAGACCACACTTTCAAAATATTCATTATAAGCACTATCTTTTTTTTTATCAGGGGCCAAAACCCAAAGTTCTTGGAGAAAAGATGGTAGATCTTGGACAACAGTTACCTGACGTAAGTCCTGGTGTTGGTCTTCAATATGGTGTCAGCTGCACTCTACAAGGAATGCAAAATAAACTGAAGGAAGCAGCAAGAAAAATCTCAATTCTGAGCCAAGAGAAGCAGCAGCTGATTGAAATGGGAAACAGACTCCGGGCAGAACTCGGAATGGTATTAAAAGAAGGTAAATTTATTCTACAGAAGGGTACTAGCTTATATATTTAGAATAAAACCTGGGAATCATTTCATCCTTTGAGCTGGAGAGAGCTAGGCTTTAATGTGAAAACGAAGTACTGGGTCTGACTGATTCTTGATCTGCATAGTTTGTTTGAGACTGTGGTGCTAATTGTTGCAAGTAAGATTATCCTGTGATAGGAGGTGCTAACATAGAACAATGAGTGTCTGTAGGCAGTAACTTTTTGTTGATGAACATCTTAGATGAAGGACTGCCTAGTGCTTAGATGTCAGCGTGCAAACTGGAAGTTGAGCTAAGACTTCTTTGAAGAGCAGAAAAGAGGTAATTTATCTCTTGGAATAAAAACTAATGCTTTATGGAAGTGGAATAGAAAGCAGAATAAGCATACTATAGGGTGAACTTGAATCAAGAGTATATATAAAGTAAGAAGATTTCACTGTGAACATTTAAGTTCCATGCAACAATTGCTCTGGCAAGGAAGCAAAGGAAAGAAACACGAGGCCCGTTTCTGCATAGCATTGAATCCATCTGCAATGAGAAGGCCTGTGTTCTGTGGTTCATTTATATCCACTATAAACACTTGCTGGGAATGTAATATTGATGGCAAAATAACAACAGAGAATGCCTTCCTCAGTATTTTCTCTCCTTTATAGGACTTTGGCATCCTGTTAGCTCTAAGCACTGCACAGTTTGTATTGCCTCTGGTAGTCTTTTTCCAAGAGAGCTTGTCAAAAGAACACAGTGTCGGCTATCAGCTTTAAAGCATCTACAGCACAGGCTTACAACACAGGTAATGATATGCTCTCTGAAATCTAGTGACAATGAGCAGTTAAGCCAGTTCTAATTCCATGAATATAACTTTCCTTAAAATTCTGCATTTAAATGTCTTTTACTAACTTTACCTCAAATCTTCCTTTGGTACCCTGGAAGATTTCACAGAATCATAGAATATCCTGAGCTGGAAGGGACCCATGAGGATCTTCCGAGTCCTGACTCCACACAGGGCAACCTAGAAGTTAAACCATGTATTTAAGAGCATTGTCCAAATGCTTCTTGAACCACTCACTCCCTGGGAGCTTGTTCCAGTGCTTGACCACCCTCTTGGGGAAGAACTTCATCCTAATATCCAGTCTGAACTTCCCCTGATGCAGCTTTAAGCCATTCCCTCGCATCCTATTACCGGACACCAGAAAGAAGAGATCAGCACCTCCCTCTCTGCTCCCCCCTCATGAGGAAGCTGTAGACATCAATGAGGTCATCCCTCAGTCTCCTCTTTTCTAAGCTGAACAAGCCAAGTATCCTCAGCTGCTCCTCATAAGTCTTGCCCTCTAGTCCTTTCACCGTCTTTGTTGCCCTCCTTTGGATACATTCCAATATTTCTATATCCTTCCCATATTGTGGAGCCCAAAACTGCACACAGTACTTGAGGTGAAGCCACACCAATGCTGAGTATAGTGGGACAATCACTTCTTTTGGCTGGTTAGCTACACTGTGCCTAATGCACCCCAGGATATGGTTGGCCCTTTTGGCTGCCAGGGCACGTTGCTGACTCATATTGAGCTTACCATCAACCAAAACCCCCACATCTTTTTCTGCAGGGCTGCACTCCAGCCTCTTGTCCCCCAGTCTATACAGGCATCCAGGATTACACGGTCCCAGGTGCAGAATCCAGCATTTGCTCTTGTTAAATTGCATACGGTCGGTGATTGCCAAGCACCCCAGTCTATCAAGATCTCTCTGTAAGGTCTCTCTACCCTCAAGGGAATCAACAAGTCTTCCTAACTTAGTATCACCAGCAAACTTACTTAGTGTGCACTCAACTCTTGTCTCCAGGTCATTGATAAAAACATTGAAGAGAACTGGCCCTAAAATTGAGCCCTGGGGAACACCACTAGTGGCTGGCCACCAGCCAGATGTTCCCCATTTACCTAAAGGGTTATATTTGGGACTTCACAATTAACTTTTTTAAACATGATTTTCATCCAAGGAATTTCAGAAACACTTGTGTTAATGCAGCATAAATGCAATCCTGAATTACGAGTTTCATAAAGCTTAGTTTTAAATAAGTAAGATAGGCCATTTGAAGGATTTGCAGTATGTTCTAAGATAAACTTGAAAATTATTAATCAGTGAGCATATTTCCAAATACCCACAGTGGTGGGATTTTAAAGCACCCATGTCCAAATTATTGTAATAGCACATTCTCCATATATGAAAGCGGGATATGTAATTAACCTGTCTCTTACCTTTTGTAATTAAAATACAACTTTTACTAGTTAAATTGCAGCTTTCATTAGAGAGACAAATGGATAAATCCTGGCTCCCATAGTAGTTAGTGGCAGACCTCCCAGTGACTTTGATAGTCGGGATTTCACTATGTACTTTACTTAATTGATCAGATTTGTTCCTGTGAGGATTGAGTCAGAGCAGCTGATTGTCGTCGTAGTTTTGAGGGCAACAAACAATGTTCTTTCAGAAAGGGTGAGGTTGTTGCTCCGAGGCATAAAACTCCAGTAGAATTATTAACCAAGTTCAGTTGGGGAAATAATTCCACTGCGAACCTCTTCGGGCAACTTGTTCCAGTGTTCGATCACCCTCCCAGTAAAGAAGGTTGGGGTTTGGGTTTTTTTTTTCCCCCTTATGCTTAAGCGGAGTGTCCTGTACTTCACTTTCTGCCCATTGCCTCTTGTTCTTTCACTGTATACCACTGAGAAGAGTCTGGCTCAGTCATCTTTACCTCCTCCCACCATCCCCATCAGGTCCTTATACATGTTGAAAAGATCACTCCTGACTTATCTCTTCTGGAAGCTAAACAAAGCCAGCTTCCCCAGCCTCTCCTTGTATGCTCCAATTCGTTGATCGTTGTGGCTGGGGGCTGGACTTGCTCCAGAATGTCCATGTCTTTCTTGTACTGGGGAGCCCAAAAGTGGACACAGAACTCTAAATGTGGTTGCACCAGTGCCTGGTAGAAGGAAATAATCACCTCCCTTGACCTGCTGGCAGTGCTTTTCCTGATGCAGCCCAGGATGCTGTTGGCCGAGGGCCTCAGGAATGCATTTCTGCCTCATGTTCAACTTGTAGTCCATCAGGTTTCCGGTTTCTTTTCTGCTGAGCTGCTTTCCGAGCAGTCAGCCTCCAGCCTATTTGAAACTGCAGTCTCCTCTGCCTTTGGGGAAAAATCAACTGAATTAAAGCTAATCTCCTCTGGAGGATCCTATTTATTTTTAATTCTCTCTTTATGCATTCTTATTTCTCTTAACTGAAATCAAGAACAGATTGAGAGCCTTTTTGTGGATTACTAAGGTTCATCCAGGAATATGTCAGAGATTGAAGCTTAATGTTTCTCTTTTTACATACTAAGATCTCTGTGATAATATGAAACTACACAGGAGATAATCCTATCTTGTTGTCAGATTGCACTAAGAAATCACAACTGTCAGTCATTTACTTGAAAATTTTACTTTCTGAACACATTCTAAAAACATCTTAAACGTTTTTACATCTAGACACGTTCTAAAAAGGTAAGACGGAATAACCACGTATTCGTTTTGCGTGTGCCATCCTGTGGTTTTTTGAGCCTCAAGTTACCGCTAATTTCTTCAGATGTTATCTAGTTGGCCTAGGTGTATTACAAAGTATATGAACCATCTGGCCAGACAGTTTGAATGACAAAGTTGAGTTTCAAGAGCCAGTGGAAGTAAATTCTAATGAATATTTGATTTTTCTTACAGTTAAGAATGGTGTTAAAGAAAAAAACATTAAGTTCTGTAGTTGCTTAGAATAAGTGCTACAAATTAGGTAAATGAAGGTTAAGTGACTCAGCTGGTACTAATTTAACCAGTTGTGTGTCTGGGGATGACACGCTTTCAATTTGCAATTTAGTCCTGCTGAAAATAGATTTTTTTTTTTCTGTGAAGTGAAACAGCGCTGCAGATTATCTGTGTAATTATACCCAGGAGGGATGTTAGCTGGACTAATTACAAAAACTTCTGGGTCAGTAGATTTAAGAAAATACTGTAAAAAGTTGAAGTGCAATCAGTCCAGCAATTAAATTTGAGAACAAGTGTTGACAGGGACAAGTTCAGTGTTCTGCTATCAGGTCTTTAGGCAGACAGTTATCCGGCTTCTGCACAGGATTGCTATTTTCTTGCATAAAGAATAGTAGTAAAACCAGGTAGTACTTGTTTGGAGGGCTCAAACATTTGAATCTGAAAGGAAAAGGCTCGCCAGGCATCCAAAGTATGCAGCAGTATTTCAGCCTGGAAAGGCATATATTTGGGGAAGAAAATGGGTACATGTGTTTCTTGTCTAAGGTCAATCTGTCGGATTGAATCTATGGCAACGTTTTGGAATATGTTCTAAGGGAACGTGGCAGGGAAGAACTCTGTGTTTGGATGTTCTATCACAGGTGCTTGAATTTCTCTTAGCTTCTTCCTAGCAGAAGATATCCTACAGGAGGGGCACTCATGTTTGATAGAGAAAGGTTGCCTGAAATCCAAAAGGCTATGCTGTTAGAGTCAATTAGAACCAGATTTGAACAGATTGCTTGAGTGAAAATAAGCCCCTGTTCTTCTTTACTGCCCATTAGTCAATGAAGAAGTTTTAAAGGTTGCAGTGTAAGCAAACATTGTAAACCATCCATCAGACAGTGATAAACTGAGAATGCCATCTGGTGTACCTTTACAGAGCTAATGGAGACTTATTTTTCCTTAGATATAGCAGATAGTCTAAGATAACAGAAGTTGAGAACTGTAACAGGTCGGTCAGGTAAGTGCAACGTGAGCTGGAGAATCTGGTATATTTTACCAAATTTATGTAATCGAGTTCTTTTGACATCAAAAGTATTAGTGAGGGCATCAAAAAATACTAGTTGGGACATACCAGAGTGAAAGCCATCTGGGTTCTGAGACTGGGAAGGCTCAAATTATTCGAGCTCTGTGAGAACAGGTCTGGGAATGCAGCACTGTTTTGCAACTCTTCATTGACAGTCCGAGGACCTGATCAAGAGCTGTCACAGCAGCACTGTCACAAGAAGTATTAGCATCTTCTGTAGCGTGAGGAAGGTCCTCAGAGAAAAGAATCGGGGAGCATTAAATAAATAGCCTTGCTGGCATATCAATGATACATCTTATGGGACAGTGATATGGGCTACTTCTCGAGCAGGAGATCTTAAACTTCTTGTAAAACTCCAAGGTGAAAAGGTCAACTCTGGTCCTAGATGACAGTCCTGAGCATATGATTCTGATCTCCCTCTTGCGGGGTTTCAGAAGGAAATAGGTGAGGCAGCTGTTAAGCGTGCAGGAAGCCTGGAAAGTGATCTGCCAACAGGAGAACCTACTGTGGAATGCCTCAGCGTGCTTGTGGATATATAATTTGTTTAGGATGCTTGTGAATATCTTATTAACTTGAAGTCACAAGCTTGGCATCCTTTGTTCGCTTGAACTTTCAGTTCAGTGAACTGTTTCTTAAACTCTAACGCCGGGAATAATTTTTACAAAGGAGATCAGGGTCCAGCAAAGCATTTGCGTAGACCTTTTGTAGCCTGCTTGTTTCATCTGTGCACTGCTTGGATCGAGGTCTGAAAAGTATTAGCTAAATGCTTATACTAAACGTATATAAAAGCAATTTCCAGATGTGGGCAAAATGGCCACAATTCAAAACCACATTTTTTACAATTTTTTTTCTTCTCCACCTCTTTAATTTTTCTTTCTTTCACAACTCATCTTAGAACTTATTGGTCTCAATTTAAGAGTCAGCTGAATAGTCATTGCCCATCCATCCCAGTCTTCCCTTGCCTTATTTTTAATGAGCTAGGTACTGTTTGCTATTTTTCTGACATTTCATGTCTCCCATGTTCTTTGTAGAATCATTAAAGATTGTTCTTGCTTTTGTAAGAATAAATAGATTTTAAAAATACAATGTGTCCATAGCTCTTGGAGAGGTAGCATTTGACTGTGAGTTGGCAGATGGTGTGCTAAACTCCAGGAGTAGTAGTCCAACCTCTTCAGCTCATGGGTTGCTTGGAGGTCATGGTTGAAGTGGCTGTCATTGAGGATCTTTCCAGCTCTGGAACGTTTGGGATCATCTCTGTTACTGCTGGAATTTGTCCAGACTAGAAAGAAGGATAGCCTTTCTTATATCCAAGCTGTTCATCTTCAGTAGTCTCACTCCGGGCTGCTCCTTACCCAGAACATACTCGCTGAGGCTTCAGCTCCTGCACTGAAGCTGAGCTCCAAGTTGAGCTTCCAAACACTGCTCTTCTAGTTTGGGTGTTTTTCTTCTAGGTAATCACTCTTACTAGCCAGGCTACATTTGCTCCTGTGTTCAAGATCATCATCCTTACCAAAAACTGAGAGAATTTATTTCTATCATACCTACAGGAATTTCAGTGTCAGTTACTTTATATGATGGGCTCATGTTTTGTTTCTTTAGTCTTAAATATATATAGCAAAAGACTTCTATGTTTATTTTCATCTGCTTTGACAGGGCTGAAGCAGTTTGCTTTTCATCAAATCTCACTTTAATTGCTACATGTTGAAAGTTGGTGAAACTTTGTGGGGTAATTGGGTTTTTTTAGCTGCTGACAAATTACTTTTCCATAGCTGCTTTATTTTATTTGGGTTTTTAGGACTACTTTAGGAGTTTTTCTTCTGTAATTTAATCATGGGAAAAGACAAAAGTGAAGAATGACCCTGACGATATAAATTTGAGTAACGAGCGGGACGATAGTGACAGCAGCAAGAAATGTAGATTTTGAACAGATTTAGTAAGAGGTTTATTAGGAGGTAGTTTGGCCTTGTTGATCTGAAGGGAACATAATGTTGTTTAATATGATTTATAACTGATTATTTTAAATCAAGCAGTGTAACAGCAAACTGAGCTATAAATGTATTATTTTTAGAGACTGAGTTATTTGTGTTAATGTAATATTTCATATTAGGAGCTGCAGTATGCAAAGCAACAGCATCTCTCAAGAATCTCTTCTGTAATTGCCTGTCCTAGCTCAAAGGAAGAAGAAACTCCAAGCAGCTGTGGGGATGAAACAGAATTACCATCCGCTGAGGTACAGTGCAGTTTTATCATCAGTGTAATTTGCCTTCAGTTGGATTTTTCAATTGCAGTTGCTCAACAGTCATCTCCTGGAAGACTTAAAAATGTATGTATTTTTTTTTAAGTTATGCATTGTTCCTGTACAAAATAGTATTTGTTAACACTTAATAAACTAGGGTTTTGCAATCCCTTCCATGATGTTGTCATTAATCTTCTTGTAAAACCTTTCAAAATTAAAAATAATAATTTTCTTTTGTCTTACCTCTTGCTGAAACCTTCTATCTTTCCAAGACCAAGATGCCACTATGAGATTTAACCAATTTTCAGATGTCTTTGATGTGAAAAGTATGTGTGTCTGTAAGATTGTGTTTGAATTTGAACAGGTTCAGCTGGATTTCTCTATTGAAAAGCATGGGCCAGAGCAACGAAAGACAGATACATCCTCAAAGATCGTTCAAAGTCAGCCTCTCAGGCAGAATGCTAGTCAAGCCCAGCAGGTCCAGCTTTCTTCATCTAGAGCACATAATTTCTGCCAAGGTATTTGGCAAGCTTTAGAAATGGGATCAAGCCCTTCTATTCTCAGTCCTCAAAAGAACACTGACCAAGGTAAGCATGCTTTGTAAAGCAGTCACAGTGTTTGACTCTTCTAGAAGAACGGAAGTACGGTCATGGATTCTGCCCCCTTCCACTAGATTTTTTACATGACTGCTACTGTTGTTACAGTCCTGTAGTCAGAATCTGCAGATCTAATGAGTTACTTGAAGGGAATTTCACTGTTGCCAGCAGAAGTAAGAATTACAAGGAATGCCTATACAGCTCTCTGGTTTTAATGCCATTGTTGCAAATACTTCTCCCCTTTTTTTAAATACTCCTGGAAAGTGCAAATACCCTTCTGTTTTGACATATTCTAAACCTTATCTGGGGCAGATATGAAAGTGTCTGCCTGAGAATTGCACGCTTCATGTGTTGCCAAGTGACTGTGTTAGATCAAACTGTAATTTGGCAAATCCTTGCTTAATCATTATTTTTGTGGCAGGTTAATAGCTACAATACTGCTTAGTGTGCTAAGACCTAAAGGCCAAAAGTTGAGATCATGGGCATGATGTGGTATATCCTGTGGGCACACAGTGAACTAGGTATTGTTATTCACTAGAATTTTATAGTCCAGTGCAACAAGTTGGAAAATAAAAAAATAAAAGCAGACGCAAATTCTTATATGTGAGACAGCATCCTGACCTTACATGTCAGACAGTATCAGGGTTAAGATGAGAGGAGAAGGTAAAACCTAGGTCATAGACTGAACATTAATCAATGTTATACTTCTACAAAAAACACCACATGTTCTTGGAAATTTTAGCAGGAGCGCCATTTGTAAGATATGTGCAGTAAAGTGTAGCCTCTTCACAGGCAAATTGTAAAGGAGCTTCTTAATGGTAGCCATTATGTTGAGCAGTGTATTGCAGATGAATGTTATGTCTCCCAAACTGTTGGCCTGTTCATGAAGTAGTCCTTCATTGGCAAAACTTTGCAAAAGTGTTCTAACATCTGCTGTGGATGGGGCAAAAAGTAATGGCCTTAAATTCCAATACTGGAAAAACTTTAAGGATGGCTAATAAAGGAGTATGTTCCCCAGAAGGATTGTTCTTTACTGAAGATCTTTGTGAATAGACAGACAAACTTTTCTCCAGAATGTTCCAAGTAAAGGTGATTTTTATTTTTTAATAAGAGGCGTAGCATTCAATAAATTATTTCTTACAATGCTGTGGGGCTTGTGCGGGTCGTTTGGGTTTTTTGGTTTTGATATTATTATTTTTATCATCATCATTATTCCTGAGATCTGATGGCAGCTGTGGAGTAATATGGCAGCCATTTAGCCTTTTCAAATGAGCTTTATATTAATAGCGACCTGTTACCATTACATAGATACTCATGTGCTGTTAACCACATACCAGACTGCAGGAGCAAGAATGCAACCAGCGGGTTAAGGGAAGTGAATTGTTCCTCTCTATTTGGTACTTGTGAGGCCAGATCTAGAGTACTGTGTCCAGTTTTGGACCCTCTGGTACAAAGGATTGACAAACTGGAGTCCAGCGGAGAGCCACTAAGACAGCTAAGGGCACTGGAACATGTTACACAAGAAGAGGTTTAGAGAGGTGGGTTGTTCAGTGTGGGAAGGAAAGAGTCAGTGGGTGGTCTGATTGCTGCTTTTTAACCACCCAATGAGGGATTTTGGAGAAGACAGAGACAGACTGTGAGGTGCACAGCGAAATGAAAAGAGGCAATGGACACAAGTTGTGTCAAGATACATTCTGAGCAGGGAGTGATAAGCACTGTGACATTTCACCCAGAGATCCTTTCCAACCTACATTACATCTATTTTTAAACCAGTGTGTAGATGCAATGACCCATCTTTAGCAGCACACAAGAAAAAAAAATAATATTTAAAAGGGCTTTCAAAATGAAGAATGGATTATAAATGTATTTGTTCACAACAGCAGTGCATTGCAGGGACAAAGTAATTATGCATTGACAGACCTGTAGGACTGGAATGGACATAGTGCTGACAGTCATGATTCATGTGCCTTTTTTGTGGGGCTGCTCCTGAAATAGGAAGAGTATTTCAGGTCAGGCCTATATTGACAGGATAAGCAAAAGAATGTCTTTGAAATATTACTGATAGTGCCATGCAGTTTCATGCTGCTGTATGCATGATGCAACGCCACTGGCAACCTTACAAGGACATCAGTTTCTTAATGTCTAGAAATTTCCAGCCACCGTTGCAAAACTTACTGTAGATTTTTGGGGATCTAGAGAATAGCAAAAGGGAAAGATGATACTGCCAACATGAAACAAGTGACACATCAATAAGGGGTGATACTTTCCTGAGAACAACCTTAATTTGATCTCTCCATCCAGATTTACCCTAAGAACACTTGAGCGGAGCTTCTTACTCCAACCTGCAGGCCCTGAAATACTGCATTGCAAGCATAGGACTTTTAAAAACTCTTTTATGTTGCTTAGCTTTCTCCTCCAGGAAACCATCCAAATGGTATCCTTGATCCTTCTAGACTTTCAGAAAACAAGATTGTGAAAGCAAAATCTTTCTTTTTTGGAAGAACGTCACCTCAGAGCAGAATATACAACATTTTCAAGGAGTTCTGCTTCTGATTTTTAGCAGAGGTTTGCATTCGTTTTCATGCCTGAGCTATGGAAAATTAATTCAATCTTTCCTGTTTAAAACCACTCACTTGAATTTAATATATTCATCAAACACATGGTTACAGTGGATAGAACCGTAATTAAGATGGAGTGACTCGGTACTGGGCTTTCGGATACAAGTGACACACACACAGACTTGAAAGCTCAGTGACAAAAAATGATTTGCAATGAAGCAAGCAAGGTAGTTTGCTTATTCAAACATTCCTTTTACAAGTTCAACTCTGTACAAGTCTGTCACACCAGTAGCTGTGTTTTAAGGGCATTTCTGGTGAAACAGAAACAATTGTAGTGCGAGAATTATTTTTCTGAACCTGTTGAACAGCTTCACTCATTTTTTTCATGTACAAAACAGCCTGTTGGGACTTAAAATGGTTGGCATGTCAAGTAAGCCCTGCAATTTGCTGTATTTCCAACGTATCACACAATTCAATGACTCAATGTGTTTTGGAGTGTTTATGACTACATGTTAACACTGAATTACTGAAGTGGACTGTTACATACTTAATTCATTTCACTGTCAAATTCAGAACTTGTGGAAGCTTCCAAGCAAGTCAGAAGGCTATGAGATATTTTAATTTTCTCTCTCCTTACTCTACCTGCTCATTTTTAGTTTGTACTGTAGGAATGAGATGGATTTAATAATTTGTATGTTAATTCTGCAGATAAGTAGAAAGAAAGGGTTTAAAAGGAACACAAGTTCCCTGTTGAGGTGTTTTTATTGTTCTGTATTATTGAAAGAAAAAGATTCTGCTACAGAGGTAGACAGGTACAAGCCGTGATGATATTAAAAGCATCAGTGTTACATACGTAGACTGTACTAGTAAGAAATAGCTTTTCTATTTCTTTCATTTTTATATGCCCTATCCCAGAGGTTGAGAGCAGGTGGGAGACTTTGGTTGGTGATCCATATCATGTGCGTCTTGAACGCTGATGACAGGCCATCCTCAAAGGAAAGTTGCTTGTCAGAAGAGTTGCATGCTTTCCTCTGAAAATCACGACACGTGTGTACAACCGTGTGATTAGCTTCTGTACATGCTGCAGGGATTCTCTATTCACCTGTGGGCTATAGAGCCTTTTTTGATTTTAGAATAAATGTTAGGCAGGAGGAAGGGAAGCTTTGTAAAACATTTAGAAAATTTGAATTTATTTGTCTTCAAGTAATTTAGCTTAATAAAGTTTTTACTGGCTATTGGAGACACTTACTAGTTTTTCTGGAAAGAAAGGCAAACATCACCTATTAAAGTTCAACTGTATGACTGCATTTAGAGTGAAGCCAATACTGTGAAGGGTGCTTTGTGGTACCATGTGAAAAGCTCCTGGTCAGCTGTATGTCCTTGGGTCAACAGAGGCTGGGGCGGATGGTCCCACTGTACATTTTGAGAAACCCCACCTCCACAGAGACTCACAACTGTGTCCTGGGCGTATTAATTTGAGTTTACATTGTAGCCTGACAAAGAGCGAGATTGAGCTGCTTTGAAGCAAAGTAACTTTTCTGGTTTACTAGTTGAACTTAGGTAGGGGAGTTTCTTTTGCTATAATTCTCATTGTTACTGTTACTTGCAAAGCTCTGTGGTCTGAAATTCTACACTTTATGGATCAAAAGTTATCTTAAGTGTTTCCACACTAGACAGAATTTCAACAGCTTTGACATCACTGACAGTTCTAAGAGCAATCCATGTGGGTAAAAAGCTGGCCAGAGAAAGAATCTGGTAAAATATTAACAAACAGAAAGAGCGCTCTGGCTCTGGCTTCATTCCGGCTCCAATCAGAGAAAGACTCATGATTTCTTTTCTGCGTTACATAAAACTTCATCTTTGAAGTGTTTCACAAATATTAACTAATCCCCTAGTTACATTTTCTTCACTTAAATGTTCTTCTCCTGAATAGGAACTTGTTTGAGTTGGTGTTCCTTCAGAAACAGTTAGCCATAAGCAAATATCTAGTGACAAGTTTCTTAAATGAAATTTTCCATCTGGGGAAATTTCAGTTTGCTCATACAACATGTCTACCTGTATCTCTTTAGTTCTGAAAAAAAAATCTGTGAATATTAATTTCTGACTGTAGTTAACACACATGAAATAGAAGATACGTTAAGCATTTCAATACACTAAATATTTAGGTCCATTTTCAAAAGCAGTTTAGGCTCTTAACTATGATCTTACTAGCTCTTGTTGCCAAGGTCACTTCTGAAAGTAAGTTACAGGCTTGTAAATTAGGTGTGCTTTTTCATTGTTTGTGAAAACCAAGCTACTGCATTTAAATTTTACTGCACAGTGCATATTCATGCTGATTTTATTCAAGGTCCTTCACACATGTGAACAGTCCCAAGTAGAACCAGTAACGTATGAAGGTCCTTATTCAGTGTTTTCTTAAAATATTTCATTTTAAATAGCATTTCTAATTCTGGGGCGTTGGTTCTTTGTCTTTTTCTATTTTCTAGAACTAACCTTACGAGTTTGCAATTTCATGGTTTTAAATTTCTGTGTTAACACAGATTTTTGACAGTCCAAAATTTTACAATAGCCATATAGAATACTTGTGTTCTGTGTTGTTGTTCCAAACACCTAACTAAGTAGCCTTTACTAGTTATAACTGTAGTGTCTCTACTAACGTCAAGAGACAAGCATACACAAGACTTCAGAGGAAGGGGTGCATGTGATGCATTGGTGCTTGGTTACTTTGCCTTTGGATCTACAGGAATAGGGCCTCCCACATTATTTCTGAAAGTCATCCCCTTGGTTGAATGCAAAAGACCCTTCAAAACTGAGGGAGTATAGATTGCCTGTAAGCAGTGTTGACTGTGTGCTATTTATGGATCTGCTCATTGCTGTTATTTAGACCACAAACAAGACGTAATCTCATTCTGCTGCGGCTCCTGTTCAAGCAAAATAATCTTTGAAGCTGTATCCAGTACCTTTCAGACACTGCTGCCTGCACTGTTCTAAACTGTTGATGTTGTGAAATTCTGCTTTATTGTCTGCCGGATGTGGTAGAGGGCTAGGGTAATGCACTATAATGATGAAAGTCCTTTTTTCAGGTAGGAAAATACACCCAAAGGTCTTCCAAGCTCTTTCTTATCTTCTACACCTGTAGGTAGCCACTAGGTGGCAAGCTGAACAACATGATTTCACATCAATAGCGCAGGAGTCCACTGAGCTTTTGCCACCTGTAATAACAAATGCCACCAAGCTGACTCAGTGCAGAGATTGCACACACATGAGTGAACAGCTGGTTCAAGCTAAGCCTGAACATAGAAATCATTTTGAAAAGTGTCATGTTTTGACACTAGCCACAGCATCATGCTTTGCATAGAGCTATAAACCCTCAATAGATTAATTAATTCCATAATTCAAAAATATATTTTGTTTCCTCCCATGTAGAACTTTGTTTGGACTTTCTACCATGTTCTGTTGACTATGAAAAATTACCTTATCCTACTAATAACTTACGTTTGTCAATTTGTGCACCTCTTATGTGATTGAATAGTACCTGGCACTGAAGCCTGTCATACTCAAAAAATTCAACTAGTACAGAATGCTGTAGTGTGTGTTATCGCAAGTATATTACGACTACTTCTGCCGTCTGCTTTGGCTCTCCATAGAAAATCAAAAGTTAAAATCTCAGTGCCTTGAAAAATAAGGATTAAGTGGCTGGAGTCAAGCACCTGTAAATATTACTTATAGCTTACAATGAATACTGTGATTGACCAATTCCACTTATCGTACCTAATGAAACCTGTGATAAGACTAAAGTTCAGTTAATTGGAGATAGTGGTTTTCAGAGAATTATGCGAGAGGCTGTAGAATGGACTCTGATTGGTATTAAGACCAGTCTCCCTGCTTCCCAACCATGTTAGGTTTTGAGTTAGTCCTCTCTAGTGCACGCAGATATTTTAGACAACAGAAACGAAGATTTCCACAGTAAATGCCTTCCTCTGTGAGAGAAGATGAAAAAGACCCCAAAAGATAATGGTGGTAGTGCAGCTTTGTCAGGCACACAGAATTGCCTTTGAGCCCTTTGGATCACGCATATCCAAACACGCTTTCCTGCAGCTTTTATGGCTGCTGGTGATTTCTTGAAACAGATCAAACTATTGCAGCCAACTACTTTATCACCGTTTCACAGTACGGGAACAGGTATGTCTAACTTTGTATCGTGTTGTCCAGTGTGTTGGTATTGCCTTGATTGATACAGATGTTCTGTCACAATGGAGAGAAGGGTAAACTTGTAAAATGTGATGTTTAAAACCAGCTGAACAGATAGGTAGTGCTTGACTTTAACAGTTCCAGCTGTCTTCCTTTCTCCTCTCTTAAGCAGTCTGATGCTAATGGAGAAGAACAGGTACAGATGAGATGCCGATGTATTATACCGCGAAGCGTAGCACGCCTTAATGGACAGTTCTGTGCCTCCTATGTACAGAAATGGTTCTGTTACTCACTCAATGTAAGACTTCGACAATGTGGCACTATGGCAGCAAGACATTTAGAGAAAAAGAGTAAACCAGTTCTCTTCAACTATCCAGTCTTGTAATTAAATACAAACATAACTACAAAGTATTTTTATTTCTTTTTTGAGCAGTGGAGTTTGAAGTGTTACATTCAACTGAGCAATCTGAAGAATCTCAGCAAAATATCAAAGCCAAGGATAAACTTGAAATGCCAGCTGCAGATTTGACGGTCAGAGGAACCAGGCTGGAAGTTCAGCAGAAGTTAAAATCCAGGAATTTATTTTGTGCTCATCCCATAAAACCAAAAATCTCTTCTAACATGGCAAAAATCCGCAACTATAATGTTAAAGACTGATTTCTTTGTTGACAGCGAGTTCCAGGTCCGCACTTGCTATTAACTTACTTTGAAATCTATAAATCAGATCTAAACATCGGCTTCATTTTTGTATGTCGAGTTGGGACGTTTGCAGCCAGAAGAGAGAACAAATACCCTGTTTCACACTGTGAACCCTAAAATAGAGGCCTAATCTGTATACATTATGAGATTACAGTCTTCACTGTTAATCCTGATTTATTTTAATTATATATGTTAAATATTGCTTGCATCATGGATTTAGAAATGCCCAGTTAATACGTATGTAAAGCCTTTAGGCAGGGCTTGCAGGTCTTTAGCAAATACTTTGTTGAGAAACTGTAGATGTGATATAAGCTTAGAATTGGGATGCCTCAACCTACTTGTTTTCTTATAATTAACAATGCAACCGTTAATCCTGTGCAGCTATCTTTGTACTTGAAAGAAAGGGGTTTGAAAAGATTACACCTGAATCTGTATTGGTTCTTATCTTCTGTAGCTTTTTCCACTTGTTCAGAGAGCATGAAAGAATATAAAATTAAACTTGTCACAAGTTTAAATATTGTCACACCGGTAATTATATTTTTCTTTAACAAGAGATTGCATAGAGTTTAAAGCAGTGAAAAACATGTTCATTAGCAACACTTAGAATTGTACAGAAGCGTTGTAAGAAATAAGTCTTACAACAGATGAAACTAAAAGAAAACTTGAATGAGTTGTGATGTAATGAGGGGTATCTATATAGTTATGAACATGCCAGGATGTTGAAACAAGTAATCAGTGTATTTTTGTAACATTTCCAGTAATCCTGAGCTGTCTTGGGATATTACAGTGATGACCTTTACTATAAATAAAGGAAATACATACAAAAAACGCAAGAAAAACCTTTTTTACTGCGAGGATGGTCAAGCACTGGAACAGATTGCCCGGAGAGGTTATGGACTCCATCTGTGGAGATACTCAAAACCCAACCAGACGCGGTCCTGCGCAACCTGTTCCAGCTGACCCTCCTTGAGTAGAGGGATTGGACTAGGTGACCTCAAGAAGTCCCTTCCAACCTAAGCGATTCTGTGATTCCGTGAGTGGTATCACCGAAGTGAATAGTACTTCTCAGTTGCTGCTAAAAACATACAAAATCTAGACAGGATTAATGAAGAGAGCTACTTACCCATGAGCGCTTTTTTTTCTGTAGCGCTTTTCTTTTTAGAAATGCTTTCCTGATGCTCTTTGCAGACAGCTGCTCTCTCTGGCATCTGACAATGTGGTAGTAATGATTTTGAGAATTTGAATAATTTGTTTTCTATTCCCTGCTGAAAATGTTTTGCTTTAGTGCAAAGGTGCTTTGATGATATAATCAGATGCTAAATCTGCAATAAATTTCATTGAGATGTTACCAAGCCAATATGAGGCCTGAAGAGGCCTTGTGAGCTTCTTTCGAAATCATTTAATTACTTGAAAATCCTGTCATTGGATTCAACATTTAACATTGTTCATGAGCCGGAACAACATGATGCATTCCCTTGAACCAGGCCCTGAATGAGCTCTTTCTGTAGCTCAAAGCATAGTGGTTTCTAACAAGTACAGGAATTTTGGCCCAGATCACACCGGTTACAGCTCTCGCTGGTTATTTCTAGAACACAATGTATAAATTCCAAAGTTTTTAATAGCTGATCTAATTTTTTTTATTTCCAATTCCATGTTTCATATTGAACTGTGGAGATGCACAGTATTTCAGTGCTGTGAGATTCTGTGCATTTACAGGTGTTGAAAAGAGTGTGCCCTTAGAAAAAGAGCAGTTTGTTCCCTAATCTTTGTAACACTGCATCCGAGCCTGGAAAACGTTCTTCTTTATTCCTTACATGGTGGATATAAGCTCCTGGGCTGCAGACTTCAGAAGTGCCTTTGTGCAGGTTTCTTTGCAGGTCTTTAGTTTTTTTTGTTTGCTTGTTTGAGGGGTTTTATGGGGTTTTTTTGTGATTGTTTTGTTCCCCCCCCCAGTATGTCACCTGGCATGCCTGGTCGTGCAGACCTCTTGCCAGAAACATAACTTTAATTTATTCAGTTTCCCTGAGAAACGGGTTTCCTTAAGGCAGCTGTAGGTAAGGGAAGATGATAGCTCTTGTTTGTTTTACTTGTGGTAGAAAAAAAGTAGTTCAATCATTGTAGGTTTGTTTCAGAGTAACTATAAGAACATAGCGTATAGGTATGCTGAAAATTAACAAAGTTTGCATAATAACAATAGATAACGTGAACAGATTGCTTGGATCCTGTGTGGGGAGGTTGTGCTAAGTGTGTCCTAAATACAGGGGGGAAAATTCTCATATATTTCTCTTATGACCGAAATACTTAACAAATTGGGCACTGACTCTTAAACTCCAGATGAGAAAGGGCGGTGAGAAGGTAGTCCTGAGGATGCTGCTGAGTGGTGCAGAGGAAGGAGAGCCTGTCGAAAAGAGAATTCCAGCCGATCACAGAGCACTGAAGAGGTAAAACAGTGAATTGCTGATCGCTGTTGTTCTTAAAGGGTTAAAAACTGTTGTAGTATTGAGGAATATATGGATAAAGGGGAAAGTTCTGCCCGGAGAAGGTCATGATCGAGCCGGATTGCGTGGCCGCGGTGCTTCAGCGCAGCTCTGGCAGCGGCGGAAAGCGCTAACGGCAACGGGACCTCCGACCGAGGCGGGTCCTACCCCGAGGCGAGGGTGAGGCGGCGGGGGCTCTCCGCGCCCCGGCGTTCGGGCCCGCGTTTGCCGACCGAGAGGCGGGACGGCGGGTTTTGTGCGGGAGTAGCAGCCGTAGGCAGTACGGAGCAAAATGCAGATTTGTTTACCGTTTCGCTTTAGTTCAGGGAGTGTAAGTTACGGGGAAGGTGGATAAAAGGTGCCTGCACGCAGAGCGGTCTTCCCCTTTCCCGTCCTTCGGAAAGGCGGGCGTACCGGGGGCACGGCGGGGAACGAGTCT